TTGGATTCTGCAAAGATCTGCTCACTTCAGATCAAAATCCTGCACTTATGGTTTCGAATCCAAACAGTATACATAATTGGAACCTCTGAAGGCGCACTCACCTCGCTGTCTTCGAATTTGAACCTTTCGTCAGCGAAAGTCAGAAACAGTCGTTCGATTGCATACCGTTTGTGAAACTCAATGATCTCCTGCAAATAGTCTTTTCATTGAGCATAAATGAACAGCCAGAATTGCACATTAGAGGCTTTTCGAGAAATCCACTGCAGTCGTGAAAAAAACTCACTTCTGAAGGCTTGAAAAGATCGTCTTTTTCATACGTTTTCGAGTAGAAGAGTCTGTTGCGGCGCATTATTGGGTTCCCTGGGTTCAAAAGGATGCTATTTGCGACTGCCTGGCATGCATCTCGTCCACGATTCACTAAAAAAATTTAGCCACTAAGACTGCAGATAATAACAGAGGGAGCTTTCAGTTTTAATGCAAATCCGGCCATCTGTCCAGCACTCAAACTTCCTCATCCCGATTTAACAGCCTCCAGTTCTCAACAAACTTCTTCAGTGCTAACTCAAGCCATTTCTCTAGCACTGGTTCGGGATGAATATTTATTTTTCATCGGCACCGACCAGCACTGTAATTCACTCATTGTCGCAAAGTTGATGGTCTCTCTCGCGAGGATGAATTTTTTCGTGTTTAAGCCAATTTCACGAACATCGCTACCTGACGAAGCATCCATTTTGATACTTACTGCAAAGATCTACTTTCCGATTCATCAGTTCTTTTAGCTCAGTGAACCGCCTCTCTGCTTTCGTCACCCGAATGTCACTACTTTAAACGCGAAAAAAATGTGTTGGAAATCCTGGCGAGTAACACTTGCATCCTTCACCACTCCTGATCATATGTTTTCAGCTGCGTTTTTTTTTTTCTTTCAGGCATCTGTACGCGATACTCTGACTTAGATAAATGATGATTTTAAAAAAGGCAGGTCGTACACGGGTTGAGAAATATGCTGCAAAAATTTCAGCTCAACATCACTGGTTGCTGAGTTAAAAGTGGATGACAAAAAGACGAACACACACACAGACACACACACACAACCACAAATAAGCATCAATAATCTCTTGCCAATATGTGTTCTTTCATTTGCATAAGCA